TTTTCATTTCTAAAAATTTGTCAAAATGACTGACACAAACTTGTAGGGAAGATCCTATTGGTGCTAGAAAATATGCTAGTTATGTAATACAAGAGTCATACAATATATGCAAGAAGATACACTTGGCACATCTTTTCTGTTGGTATTTATTGAAAATATTATTTTAATTTCTAAGTACTAGTCGGTGGTAACTAATGTTTGAGGGCAGATTTCGACAAATGTTGATAGTTCGTGTGGTATTTAATTGACTTGGGTATCCGGTTAATATTGTGACTCCGCAAATGATAAACTCATCATTTATAGAATATAGTCACTATTTTGATTTTATCAAGTTGGAAAATGAATAAATATTTTACCTCTCAAAGGAAAAATTATCAAGTCTGTTAAGTGGAAAAAGCCAACTTTGAGCCAAATAATCCTTAATATAGACGGATCATCACTCGAAGGATGCGACTCTAGCTACGGGTTTCTTTTGAGGGATAAACATTGCCTTTTCAATTTTGGAGAAGCCGGTTTTATTGGACATGGTGAAAATTTCTAAGTTGAAATAAGCTGCCTCCTCTTTGGATTGCAAAGATGTTTGGCAATGAAGCTTTCAAATGTTGAAATACAAACAGACAACCTTCTCCTAGCATCTCTCCTTCAATCAGATGAAAAATTTCCCTGGCATTTTAATTCTGTACTTTAGGAAATAAAATTCCTGCTCCTCAGCCTCAACAATGCAATTATCCATGTGTATCGTGAAGCAAATGCTGCTGCTGACCATTTTGTTAATATGGTTTCATCCGGGTAATCGATTCGTTTTCGTAGCTTTAGTGACCTTGTTTCTACACTAAAAGGTCTTCTTATTCTAGATAAGCAAGAAACTCCATACCTTAGGATACGATAATTCGTATTCTCATGTACAATCAAATTCTTCATGTTTTAAATTTTTATATATCGGGTTTCATCCCCACTAGGCTCTGTCCTAGTTTTAATTATAAAAAAAAAAAACATTGCAAACATGATCGATTAGATCCACGAGATATGAAATAGTACTGTAGAAGAATGAACATTACAAATCCCGTCACGATAAAGTTACAATTCTCAATGACACACCCTAACGAAGCCTTGGTTTTTTAATGTGAATGGAGAAACAAGCTCGCCCTATTCACTTTGTCTACCAGGAGGTCAATGCAAAGTTCCATATTGATCTTGAGGCCCTCGCCGCTTACTATCTACTGATAATGAAGAATGTATAAAGTTAACAGTTAGGCGGATAAAATTTAAAATCACTTTTTTAAAATAATTTTGTATAACTTTTTTTAGAAGAAAATGAAATATTTATTGCAGGTAGTTAATCTAATGATGGACAATAGCTCACTTGTAAACGATACATTGAATAAATCTATACAATGAAGATGAGCATTTTCTCTATTAATTAGTAAGTATTCTATGAACTTGGCTTTGAATTTGCCCATCATGTTCAGTCGATTATAGTTACGACCTGTATTTAACAAATTTTACCTACACTTTTTCTGTAAGTGCATCAGTTTAAAGATCAATCTGTATATAACTTTTTTTTTTAAGAAGTTAATTTCATTACAGTGTGAAAGAATTTGGTACAATGCAATCATGTGTGCCCGAAATGACATATTGTGCATACACTAGCTCTTATCCTAGTAAAGTTGAAATATCACCCATGGCTTCGCCCATATCGAACCGGAGACCTTCAGTGTGTTATTTATGTAACTTAGTGTAACTACATTATTTATGTAATTCGCATTTACGTTCTAACAATTTATTAAATTAAAATGCAAAGAGTACACTAATCAAATTTTTCCCAATAAAGAAGAAAGATCTTCTTAGTTTCTTCCATCTCAGCATACAAGACAAAACCATAATTTGCTTTAATGAAGAAAATCACAATTTTCCTTATTCGCAATTCACCCAAAATTTGCATCCGTCGTAATATCAATTCCCAACCCTTAATTGGTCACTTGGCCTCGAAGAATATTCAAACAAAGCGAAACAAAGTGAATTCTACAAAGTACATAGAGCACTACGATCAATTTTCATTCGATTTATATTTTTATTATTTTTCCATCTTAGATTACTTTGAGCATTGTTTTGCATTTGATTAAAAAAATATGATTTATAGTTTATAATTAACATATAACATTTTACATAACAATGCAAGTACTTGAACTAAGAAAGTTCAAATCGTATTCAACTTGTTTAATTAGGATACTTCGTAGTATAGCACATATGATTTAATATGATTTAAACACATTTTAATGGATATTTTGTTCTTTGTGAAAGCAAGAAAATACATATAATGAATTTTGCAACCGTAGGTGCTACTGGAGGAAATGGTTAAGGTTCAAGTGATGAGCATCATAATCCGAGAAGAGGCCAAAAGTTTTTTCATTGGCACCGGTGAGATATAATCCAACAGCGTGAAGTGTGAACTCTTTGTATTTGATTGTAATGTTTTTCTTTGTACAAAAAAAGAATATCTTAGCTGAAACTATAATTTGTTTGTGTGTGTGCGCTTGTGTTTTTGAGGCTATTTTGATTGTATTTTTCATGATATAAACAACTGTAGAATCATAATTCATCAAAATTTCTTCAAATATTATAGTGAGAAATGAAAATTCTGGCTAAACAAGTTAAATTTCGTCAATTTCGTCACAGCCACTAAATCTATTTGCAAGTGGCTTCTCCACTAGAGAGTACAATATAAATTGGAATATATAGAACGACTGGGCAAGCTAGTGAAATTTAGCTGCAATTCAATTAGTGTAGATAGATTTTTAATGTTCTCGCTCTACATATCTGACTCTCTGAATTTTATTTTCATATTGGTTTTTAACTCCTTGACTATTTTATTTATTTACTTATTTTTTTATATCATAATACTCTCCCTGTTTCAAGAGAGACATATTTTAAGAAGTATATTTTAAGAAAATATTTTTTAAGAAAATTATATTTTAATCTATATTGGAGTGGAAAGAGTATTTTTAAGAAAATATATCTAAAAAATATATATTTTAATTTAATTTAGAGCGGAAGGAGTATATTTTAAGAAACCGTAATGTACGGAAGATATATTTTGAGATTTGAATCATTACTCTTCATAAATCCGTTTTTTCCCGCTTGAAACATATATATATATATATATATTTATATATAAGGATATTCATGTTAATTGTATTTCATAAACAAGAACATTACAATTTATTATTATTCTTATCTTTGGCTCAAATACTACAAGTTGATATTGCCACACTTGTTCACGGCTCTATTCTTAGACTACATAGACATATTTAACTTCAATCAATTAATATATGTAATAGATTTTTATTCCTTTGTTTTGTATCTTTGTGCATCTTTTCTAGGTGTTTAATTCCTTGAATTTGATATCATAAAATATTCATGAAATGTATAACAGTTTTCTTTTAATCTTAATAAACATTTCTTGTTTTTCTCGATCATATTTTAGGTTTTTTAGGGAAAACCAGCATCCAAATGAAAGTCGGAGACAACAATTAAGTAGGAATCTAGGTCTTGAACCAAAGCAAATCAAGTTTTTGTTTCAAAATAAGAGAACACAAACAAAGCAACTGTTACACAACAAATAATACTTTTTATAAGTTTGCTTTGAGTGGGCGAGTGACAATTTATGTTTCAACAAACAACTAAATAAAATGGAAAAAAAGGCATAGTTCTAATACAATAACTCGATTTGCTTATTTTATGAGAAATGCTAATATAAATTAACCATTTACTGAGAGGAAATAAAAAATACAAACACACACAGACACACGAAACATGACATAAAATGTATGACTTCCGATCTCATCTTGAAAAAATTTGTCAGATAGATGCAAAACGTTAGTCTTGCAACATGAAACAAACTCATAAACAACCAGCCCATGAATTTTGAGAGAGTGGAGTGGAGAAAGCTTTATACTTTCATGCTCGTAACGCATTAGACTGGCTCGACGAAGACTAGCTTAAGATTAAATCTAACACTAAGACTAATCCACAATTGAGTCGGGTAAGTCCCAATTGGGAGCCAGGTGATAATCCCTAGATTATTTATTTGTTTATGCGACTAATTGCTGGAAAAGAAAATGTGCCATCTTTAGATTGGCATTTATATTTGGTTTCACCTCCCAATTCTTGCCTACGATCAAACATCAAAATTCCAGAACCAGTCATTTTCCTTCATGTTGCATTATTAATCTAGTTCATTTTTCCATTCCAGTCCCTTTCAATATCAATGACCCGCGACTTTTATTCAAATCCTATTTCGTCAAACCAATTATCAAGCTTTTCTCCAAGTCAATACCGTGCTCACTTTTTCCTATATTTCGATTTGTCAAAAATTCGTTAAAACCGCCTAGTCAGCATTGTTACTTGAATTTTTAGCAAATGATGAAAACCCGCAAAAATTTTAGATGATTAAGCTAAATTTTTTTAATTTAATAATTACCGGTGATATACTAATTAATTAAAGATTGCTTACTTATGGCTGAATTCCGGCTGTTCATCCTTCCCCTGCTGTTGATGATATTCATTAGTCTCATCTTCACAGGTAATTCTACTTAGTAATGAAATAATTTCGGAAGTGAAGGGTTAGCCAATGCCGCGGCGGCGGCATTTACGTTGGTGAACAAATGTCAGGAAACTGTATGGCCGGCGATTTATACCAACGACGGGAGCGCAGAGCTTTCCAAGACGGGTTTTGCTCTTCAACCTGGAGAATCGGAGACCATTCAGGCGAAGGTTTCATGGGGTGGCAGTAACTGGGCTCGGACTCACTGTACTAATGACTCCACAGGGCATTTCTGGTGCCTTACAGGGGATTGTGGCTCCGGCAAGGCAGAATATTCCGGCACTAAAAGAACTCCGCGAGCCACGCTTGCTGAATTGAAAGCTGAGCCTTCCGGTGTCGATTTCTACGATGTCAGCTTGATCAAAGGGTTCAATGTCCCAATTTTAGTCGCCCCAATTAGCGGTGGAGGCAGACATTGTGAAACCACTGGATGCCTTGTTTACCTAAACGCCGACTGTCCTTCGGAGATGAAAATGTCCGGCGATGGTGGCGAGGTCTTCGGCTGTAGGACTCCGTGTGAAGTGTTTGGGAACCGAACTTTATGGCAGAGCTTTCATCAACCTACGACCACGCGTATGAAACTTGGCTCAATCTGACAACTAAGCAAAACTGGACATTAACACCTTGGCTTAGTTCTTACATACCGGCCTCTGGTGCTTTCACATTGAGCTTGGAAAGGACTCAGGATTCAGGGCAGTTGGTTATTCGCAGGCGAGGTGTGATTTATTGAAGCCGTGGTCCTTGGGAAAATCAAGGGTTCCCATCTTTACCTGTACTTAGTGCCTCTTCCAATCGATTTGTTGACAAACTTAATCTAATATTTGCTGAAAATGGCATGTACTTCACTTTCGGAACAATCGATACAAGTTTATCAATGTTAGCCTTATCTCCAGAGGGTCATATTGTTGATTTTGCAAATACCGGAGTGGTTATTAGTGGTTACCAGGGTTTTTGTTATGGGTACGAAATGGACAATGGCTGCGCGAGTGCAGCATTGCCTGTTTGCCGAAGCAGTAAGAATACATTTGAGAGAAAGAGTGGGACTTTTGTAGGAGAAAATGGTAACTCTGATTCCAATTCAAGCATTAGCCTTTGTGACTGTATGGAAAAATGTTGGAATGATTGCTACTGCAATGGTTTTACAGTTAATAGCAATGGCACTGGTTGTATAAGTTGGACACAAAATAAGCAGTTTCATGAAGATAAGCCTTTGTATAAGTTGGACACAAAATAAGCAGTTTCAGCGAAATCCTCCAAAGGTAAGTCTATTATGATGACTGCTGATCCAACTCTTTGGTGATTTGTGGATCTGTTAGTACTATTCGCTATTTAAACATACGGGTATCGTTACACTTAGTTCACTGTGAAAGTTAATAGTATTTCAGCTTCTTCTGGTTGAATTTGGTAGAACTCAAGGTTATGTGTTTGAAAATGTATGATATTGTGGCTGTTTTGTTGCTTGGATAGGAAAAGCATGGATAAGGTTAGTTGTCACGATATCAACTGTCATTCTAATATTTCTGCTTGGCTTCGTAGGCTATGTCAAGATTAAAATCATAAAGTAGAAGGTAGTCATGAACATCCTCCACATCTCTCTTAATCTCACTAGTTAAATGTCTCTAAAATGATGCATTGGTTCTGTACTTTAGAAGCTGTGAAGCAACTGCGTGATGGTATGATACTACTTATAAATCGGTTGTTTCAACTCTATGATGGCGGCTACAAACAACTTCTCTCAAGAAAACAAACTTGGAGAAGGTGGTTTCGGACCAGTTTACATTGTATTTTATACTACTTAGAATTTCTAAGATGGTTATGATTCATTTTCATGCTGGCAGCCTTTAATCCAATGACAGGGGAGTTTACCTGATGGTCGGAAAATCGCTGTCAAAAGGCTTTCAAGAACATCAGGTCAAGGATCAGTGGATTTTTAAAATGAACTAAGGCTTATATCCAAGCTCCAACATGCAAATCTCATCCATGTTTTAGGATGCTGCATTCATGAAGAAAAGAAAATGCTAATCTCTGAGTACATGCCCAACAAGAGCCTCGATTTCTTCCTTTTTGTTTTGTGGCCTTTGAATCTTTCTTCCAATCAGATTTACTTGGGAAATGTAATTTGACAAAATGAAAAGTAGACTTTGATTCATGCCTTTTCAATCTTTTTGACAGAATGACAGGTAAAGATGGAAATGAGAAATTGGATTGGCAAAAGAGATTCAATATTATCAAAGGCATTGCTCAAGGCCTGCTGTCCCTCTATAGATGTTCCAGAATACGAGTAATACATAGAGAGCTCAATGGCAGTAGTGTGTTATTGGATGAAAATATGAAGCCGAAAATTCCTGATTTTGGATGGCAAGAATTTTCGAGCAGAACGAGACTAAAGCTAAGACAAAGAAGGTTGTTTGGACATAGTAAGTTACATCAGCCTCATTATGCAAGAAATCATCATCTTGACTTTGTATCTCCTCAACAAGAGTGTTTTCTCAACTAGTATCTAAAAGAAACAAGGTCAATGACTCTATGCAGTGGTTAGATGTTTCCAGAATATGCCATGCAAGGAACCTTTTCGATCAAATCCAATGTTTTTAGTTTTGTGATGATAATCCTCGAAATTATCAGTGATAGGAGAAGCTTCAGTTTATACGATTGACGAAGCATGGAATTGTATTACCGGCTTAACAGTGGAATTCCAGTAGGGTTTCCTGCAAAATAGAGCCTCAGAGGTCTCCCGAGGGTAGACACTCCGGTACTTAAGTCATAAATAGGGTTATAGAAAAGTGTGTATACATAGATTTGAGCTAAAGACAGCATACCTCAATTGTAGTATGACCAACCCTATTTATAAGTGTAGAATTACATAGAAGATATCCGAATCCCCTTAAGTTTCGTATTGGTAAATTGCCTTATTAGAGTCGGTCGGACTCAGGAAAAGTGAGTGGGCGAGTCCAGTAACCCTCGATGGATATGGACTCGTCAAGTGCCCCTGTCAAGTGTTAGTTGTAAGAAATAAACAAGATTTAACACAAAATAATACTAACCTAGACTCGGCCCAAGTTGAATGGACAAGTCTCGACCCAATCTACACAAAATAGGCCAGATAGAGTTTCTCGCGGGTCAGGATCCAACCAGCTTCTGGATCCTGCCCAAACCATTGATCCGTGCACTGTTAGTGGGTACGTTTCCCAAACGACGGCCAATAACATCATTGCTGCCCTGAATTCCGTTGCAACAGTAAAAACGTGGGGAACATAAAAGGCTTTTAAACCCTTGAGAGAAAAAAAAAACAAATCTTCCCATTTTATCAAAACCAAAGTTAAGAAAACACTGAAAGCTCTCTCTCCACAATGCCCCCGTTCAATACCGCTGGAGATACTCTCAGCCAAGCACCGCCGGAAAATGTCGATGCTTGCTATTGTTCGAGGATTGCTGTTACACTGGGAGGCTACAACTCGAAAGGTCAAACCCAGAAACTGATTGAGGTGAGTTCCTGGCTATTTTTTTTATTAAGTTTCTGCCTTTCTTCAGTGAATCTTGTTGTTATAGTTCGTACTTTGGTAAATATGGCTGAGAAAATTATTTGTGATTTTGCATTCACCATAGATTTCACCCCGAAAGCTGAGGCAGTAGCTGAGAAATATAATTTTCCTGTAGATCTAGAATATCGAGCTCTCATAGAAAATGAAAGGGCTAACACTCCACCAGAGGGAAAAATTACTATTTATGATCGATTCATTTTTCTAGGGCTTAGATTCCCCCTTTTTCCTCTGTTTGGAGCAATAGTCCAGCATTATAAGATTCCACTAGCTCGATTCACCCCGAATTTAATAATTGCTATTCTCGGATTTGCGATACTATGTGAGTTGGTGAATGTTAAACATCGATTACTCGTATGGAGGTATTTCTTCAAGGTCTATGTTCCCTCGACCAAGTTCAGGGACTGATACAATGTGAAGAAAAATCTGAAATCAAAAGCCAAACAAATAGTGAAGCTCTTTGACGGTGCCCCAAAGTGGAAACCCAATTACCTATATGTGAAAGCTGCAGAAGATTTTTGTGTAGCTTGGAATTATCGAGAAACACACGAGCTGGATGTGATACTAGATGATTGGACAAAGGCAAATGAGGCCAAAATCGAGAAGTACAGAGCCGATATTAACGCCATGGAGGAATACGAGAATTTCATCCTTTGGACTAATGTTCAGCACTACATTCCTCCAGTTCCAGTTGAGGAAAAAAAAGGTACTAACTTCTCTTTTGTATCTTTCTGTTTTAGGTTATGTCGTCGAGAAGAAACACCATTGGATTGTTTGGTGATGCCAAGATTTTTAATGTTAAAAACTCAAATGATGAAGGGTCATCGACAAGAGTTGGAAAGAAGAAGAGGAAAGTGAAGAAGCAGGCCAAAGCATTGAATGTGGAAGCCAGGAAGAAATTCAGCACGACCATCCTGTCGAGAAAGAAAGCTTGGTCGAGAAAGAAATAACCCAGCAGGAAATGATTCCACCGACCGTTGAGGCAGCAAATGAAAATCCTAAAAATCCATTCCCCGAGGCGCACATGGTGACGGAGCTAAACCTGCAACGATTCACCGGGCCAAAACCTCCGTTGGAGAAGAAGAAAGATGCCCTCGAGGACACTGCTGCGTCCCCTGGATCATCATCTTATAGTGCTGCTGCTGTTGTGTATCACTTTTGAGATGTGAGGATCGAGCACCCCATACTTGAGGAGAATGCTGCGGCACTGACAAAGGAGGATGCTCTGAAGCTAGTAAGTATTACCCGTACTTTAATTAATGCCACACATGCTATCTGTGCAATATAATGGAATATTGTCCATGACTTGTGTAGATGAGCACCTCGATGATCAGCTTCTTGATGCGCCAGAAGAACCTGAAAGAGGAACTGGCTAGGATGGAGCTCGAGAAGAAGCTTATTGAGCAAGAGAAGATGATCCAAGAAGTTGCATGGAAGAAGGAGCAGCTAGAGTTTGTCGCGAAAGAGAAGGAACTGGCCTCCTGCAAGCTGCAAAAGAGAAGGAATAGGCCTCTCTGCAAGCTAAATACCTTGAACTGGAGGCAAAGATGAGAGAGTATGGGGAGTCCCATATTTCTAAGGCAGACTAGCAGCAATGGTTGGTTTCATTCAGGTCGAGGATGTAGCCTACTGGTGGGATAGCCAATATTATGCTTGGCATCAGTGAAGCAACCAAGCAGTTGGGTAGTCATGGCGTTGTTGTTGCTACTCTGAACGGATGGAGATGGCAGGACCATTAATGCTGGCTGGCTAAAACAGTTCATAAGGACAGATCCTCGCCGGGCCTTACATGAAGAGATAAAAAATGGACCTCTGTTGCACCTCTCAACAGAGCAACTTCCGCTGTTCAATGCTTTGTGCAATGCTGTACCTCAAATGGGTTCTCCTGCCGATATTTCCTTCTTTCCTTGTGATGCCCCTACAATCCTAATGGGCGACCTCGATGAGGAGTTACTGGTGCCGGATCTTCCTGACAAGTTGGTCGAGTTGGTCTCCGATTATGACTCCTCAGAGGAAGCTGATGATGGTGGCGACAAGGAGAAGGGGCCGAAGGTCGAGAAGGAGGCTGGATTGACCCAAACTCCAGTCGACAAAACCAATGAGAGCCAGCAGACCGATCCTCCAAACCAGGGCACTGTATGAACTTCTCTGCTTGTAATAGGACTCCTTTTGAGATTCAAGATCCTTTTTATAACTTTATCTATGGATGCAGTTAAAAACACTTTTTCCCCCTATTGACAATATGATGCCCTTTCTTGGTTTTTCTGTTTTTCTTTTTTCTGTATTTTGACATGCTCTAGTTGCCCATACTAGGAACCGTATTTTGTTCATTATGTACACTTGTGGATCCTAGGCGAAAATCAAGCCCAGAACTTTCCAATGTATTCCATGATCTCTTGTCTGCTGAGAAAGTGAGAGAGCGTCAATTATATAGCTGTGGTAAGGTCTGTCGAGAAGGATATTATAGATGTTGTCTAAGCGTACACTGTACAGATTCATTATGGGTTGGTACAGAGGTTTAGGCTGATGGAGAAAGAATATCAGCGTCGCCTTCACCAATACAACCTCGATTTCCATGAGGCGTTGTCCTTGGAGGCGAGTGTGAGCAAAGAGATGGCGAATCTGAGAAAGGAAAATGCCAAGCTAAATGCTCGTGAAAGGATCTTGGAGTCCCCATGGTTTTTCGAGAAGTTTC